TAACGTTTTTTAAAACCTTGGACTTAACATAAATGCAATACACAATAAATTTACAATGTTCATCATGTATAGTAGCCAAGTTACATAAATTTATAACAGGTTGAACATATGACAAAAATTACTAATAAGTGTGGTGTTGGAATTATTTTTTATTTAAAACGATTAATGAATGCCACTTAGTACTACGGTCTGGTAGTATTTCTCTTGACTTGTAAGTGAGAGGTCTTAGGTTCGATTCTCGTTCAAAGCGAATTTAAACCACATTATTGCTAGCACATTGTGAGGTTAAGCCCACCCTTACTTTAGTGTAGATAATATCGTTTGTTCCAAAAAAAAAAAAAAAAAATCGAAAACCTAATACAAGTAGATCACATATCAATTTGAATATGCACATATGACTGTAGAGAGAGAAAAAGGAAAGAGAGGGGACCTTGTATTGAGAATTGAGGTCCTCTTTGAGCTCAAGGATTTCGCCCTTCTTGGTGGTGGAGAAGTACTTGGAGTCGTGCCTGCTTATCTCTTTGCTCCGGAGTCGTCTCCACTCCTCTCTCTTTTTTCTCTCTCCATCTGCAGCTCAATGCCTTAGACCAAAATGCTCGTCTAAGAGACGACAACAGTAAAAGAAGAACGAGAACAAAAAGAAAAAACCGATGAAAAATTACTTGTGTTAAATCCAAGCCAATGGGAGAACTGAGCTAAACCGGGCCGGTTTTTTAATTACAAGACCATATTATTCTCATCTAAACTATCCTACGACACCATTTGCTTTTTTTTTTTTTTTTTTTTTTTTTTATTGAAATTTGCTTTACTTTAATGGTATGTTTACCAAAGGGAAATGAAATGATAGGAACATCCCCATTCATTCAAGTGTTTACCAAAACTTTAGAAATAAAAAAATTAGTGGGACCCGCATAAAATCAGGAATTCAATTCCTGAAAAAGGCGGAGTGGGATTCTTGGGTGAGAGGAGGGATTTGGATTCATGGAAATTGTGTTCATCAGGAATCCAAGTTTTGTACCGGTAATACCCTCAAGCTTCAAAGTAATATTGGGATCGGGGGAGGGGGAGAACGAACCAGGGATATTTTTTGCCCCCTTTGCGGGTTGTGCTGATCTACTTCGCATAATAAGAGGAGCAAAAGGTGGTTGGCGATGAGGAGAGCCTTGTGGGTGAAGGGGAGTGAGTTAAGGCGGTGCAGGGTGAGAAAGAAGAGGATGGGGAGGGAGGGAGGGAGGGAGGGAGGGAGGGAAGAAAGACGGTGGTAGTGGTGGGTATTGGAGAGGATGGTGGTGGGCATCCTGCGGCTGCTGACAAAGACTGGGGAGAGGGGGAGAGAGAGAAGAAGATATAAATTAGGGTGATTAAGAATCTTCTCAAATATGTGGAAGCAAATAAAAAAATATTATTTCATATTAAATTTGTACTCTAATAAAAATCTCTCTAAAAAATAAAAAAATGAAAGAGTAAAAGTTTTACTAAAAATAATTAGCAAATAAAATAGATTAGTTAAGCAAGGGTACTTTAGTAATTATATTAGATTTTATTCCGATTCATATGAATTAGTAAATAGTTTATATAAATCAATGTCATTTCTACTCTGATTCCAAACAATTTTGGTAAACAACTTCAACAAGAATTTAATTCTGATTCCAGCTCATTCCAATTCCCCCTCAATTCAATTCCTCCTCAATTCAATTCCCCTCGATCTGATTATGGGTTAGTAAACGCATCCTAAGGGTATAGTCAAATTAATTAAAATTGGAAAGAACTTTAAAAGATTTTAGAATTATGAGATAGTCCATTAGATTTTAAGGTTACTATCGTCAAGTTTTTTTTAGTCAAAATTTTGAAAGTCTTACATTTCAGTTAAATTTGTTGTTAAGTCAGTTGTTAACCGGTGGCGTGACCTTTAAATGGACAATAACTTGGCACTATGTGGGACCCACATGAATATAAAGAAATTAAAATTTAAAAAATAAAGTGAAATTCAAATGCATGAGTTTCTTATGTATTTTTTATAATAAAAAATATAGCATGTTCGTAGTGAAATTACTTCTGGCAAAAGTTCTTATGAAAACGAGCCCTAATCCATTGTTTAGGACTATTTTTCAGAAGAGATAAAAACACTTTGGATCAGCATTGGCCCGATATTTTTCTTTAAACAAATCATATTATCTAGACTAAAGAAAAGTGAGTAGGCTTAACTTCACAATGGACTAGCAATAATGTTGTTCAAACTCGCATTTAGCGAGAATTGAACCTAAGACCTCTCACTTACAAGTGAAGAATAATATTACTAGATCGCAATACTAAGTGACACACTAACCTGATACTTATGCACGAAGAACTTCCCAATAAAAATTTCAACATGTTTATATTGATTGGACTTGACATAAACGCAATACACAATGAATTTACAATGTTCATCATGTATAGTAGCCAAGTTACATAAATTTATAACAGGTTGAACATATGACAAAAATTAATAATAAGTGTAGTGTTGGAATTATTTTTTATTTAAAACGATTAATGAACGCCACTTAGTACTACGGTATGGTAGTATTCCTCTTGACTTGTAAGTGAGAGGTCTTAGGTTCGATTCTCGTTAAAGGCGAATTTGAATCATATTATTGCTAACCAATTGTGAGATTAAGCCAATCTCCTCCCCTTTAGTGTAGATAATATTATTTGTTTAAAAGAAAAATAAAAAAAAGATCAATGAATGAATAGTTTATCAAATTTTCATTTTAGTCCCGTACATTTGGGATAACACATCCCGGCCCGAGCCCCCATCACATCCCGGGCTCAACTCCACCGTAGTACGATATTATCTGCTTTGGGTCCTGATCACGCCCTCACGATTTTGTTTCTGGGAACTCACGAGCAACTTCCCTATGAATCACTCATCATGGGATTGCTCTCGCGTGCTACTCGCTTAACTTCGGAGTTCCTACGGAACCCGAAGCTAGTGAGCTCCCAAAAGGCCTCGTGCTAGGTAGAGATGAGAATATACATATAAGGATCATTCCCTGGACGATGTGGAATCTAACATGGGATCTGGATAAGATAATAATTCTAACCGTTAAACTCGATAGTAATGGATAACTGTCTGAATGAATTGAATTTTGATATGAAAATTCGGGGTATATTTTGGGTATGGAAAAAACCATGAATATTATTTAGTTATGGTTTTGGATATGGTTATACGGATCTCCAATCTGTATCTCTTCCCGTATTAGAATAGAATAATATATAATATTAAATAATATATATTCATTATTCACAGAATCTATTACCTTAAGAATACAAAAATTGCATTGTATGAGTTGCATTTTGTGAGAAAGTTCAAAAGTTTTGATACGAATCAAAATCTATAAGAATTCAACAGTACTTCTAGTTCTAGGAGATATCAAAGATCTGCCAACATTATCAATGTTTAGCTTTAATTTTTATACTCCACAAGATCCATTCATTAAATAATTTTATACATCAAATATTTAGTGATGAAATTAATATTTACTAAATTATCATGCGTCAATTGAACGAATATATTTTTTGTATTGATGAAGATGGATATAACTGTTACCGATGAACAGTTCGTTACACTGTGAGTATAGTTATGGATAATACCCAATGATCCAATGATTAATTTGTGGTTATAAATATGGTTAATTTTCGTGATTATGAGAATGGATATAGCATTTCAGTTCTCAAACCGAACCGTTGTCATTCTTAGGGCTGGTTTGATATTTCTATGCTTTGAAAAAAAGCTGCTTCTGCTGTGCTATGAGAATAAGCAGCTGTGAAATAAAGCAACTGAGTGTTTGGTAAACTTTTTTGTAAAAGTGCTTTTGAAAAAAAAAAGCAGTATTAGAGTGTTTGGTAAACTTTTATGTAAAACATATGTGAAAAAAAGCCGGTTTTTCAAAGCTAGGTTTTGCAGCTTCTTGTTTTTGACTTTTTTTCATCCAAAACTGTGAAAAAAAGCTGAAGCTGAGTGTTTACCAAACACAAAAACATCTCCCAGCTTTTTTTGATAGCAGTTTTTTTTCAAAATCACCTCAATACCAAACCAGTCTTAGGGCTGATTTGGTATTGCTGTGCTTTGAAAAAAAGCTGATTCTGCTGTGCTGTGAGAATAAGCGGCTGTGAAATAAAGCAGCAGAGTGTTTGGTAAACTTTTTTGTAAAAGTGCTTTTGAAAAAAAAAATAGTATTATAGTGTTTGGTAAACTTTTATGTAAAACAGATGTGAAAAAAAGCCGATTTTTCAAAGTTGGGTTTTGCAGCTTCTTATTTTTGGCTTTTTTTCACCCAAAACTGTGAAAAAAAGCTGAAGCTAAATGTTTACCAAACACAAAAACAGCTCCTAGCTTTTTTTGATACCAACTTTTTTCAAAATCACCTCAGTACCAAACCAGGTCTTAATTCTAGACCCTGTGGTCTAGGGAAAGCTTGATCACCCGCCGTTGGATGAGATCAAACGGTGGAGAAATATGTGTTTTTTATGTTGACTCTTTCTCTCTCGTTCCTCACATCTTCTCTCTCACCGTCGGAGCCAGATTCGATCACCAGCGCGGCCACATTCAACACGCCGCCAGAAGGTCAACCGCCTTAAGCGAGCCAGAAGGAAGGTGGCGAACCGAAGGAGGTGAATCAGTTGCGGAAAACGATAGAATCGTTGAATGTGGAGCTCTGGAAGAGAAACAAATGCTAGCTGCGGCAGAATGGCGGCGTTGGCTCTGAAGCACCTTCAGAAATCACACAGGGAAGCAGATTCCAGAGCTCGGTCGGTGAAGGTCCGATTGTGTCTCTTCACTCGTGTTAAGGTAAAAAGGCAAAAATATGTTAAATAAACACTTATATTTCTCTACCGTTGGATTAGATCTGACGGTGGTGAACGGGACCGAGGTCCTTTTATACGATCCAACACGTGCCACGCACATGTCTTGATTCGGTGACCATCGTTTCTCACTATTGGCTTAGGCGGTTCCATTGCGCTATAAATAAAACCTGACCGGAACTCAGAGAGCATTCCAAATTTCCAATATCCCTCGATCCAAAAACCCAAACGAAAAATCAAAAACAAAAACAAAACCAAAATCAATCGAATTTAATTAGGTTTAATTTCAATTTTATCTGCATAACCAACAATGGGACACGGTATTTTTCAGTTGTTTTTCTTAATTTTATTTTTAATTTCATTCAGAATTTAAGATAGATTAGTGGTGCTAATTGTTGTTTCAATCTTTCAGGTGATAAAGGAGGCAGACCCAGTAAAAAACCCAAATTCTCCGCCAAGGTTTCTGTTTTTGATTTGTTCTTCCAATTGTTTCTGTAATTTTACATAAATTTCTTACGATTTATTGCTCACAACATCAGCTGTCGTATGCAATTGCAGGAAATTGCTCACGTGGAAGACGACGACCCATATTACGGCGGCGAAGATGTCGACGATGATCCTCGCGACGGTACTAAAATTACTTTCTGTTTTGGAAATTAGTTTTTGATTTTTCTGATGGGTTTTGGTTACCTTGAATTAATTTGGGTGAATTTTGACTGTCATTGGTTGATTAAAGGTGAAGGGAAAAAGAGGGATTTTACCAAATTAGAACTGAAACCTGACCACGCCAATCGGCCTTTATGGGCTTGCGCTGATGGCCGGATATTCCTCGAAACCTTCTCTGCTTTGTACAAACAGGCTTATGATTTCCTAATTGCCATTGCGGAACCCGTTTGCAGGTACCCATTTTTTGAGTTCAGACGAGATTCTAATTGTTGGCCGGGTTCTTTGTTTTGTTGAATTAAGGAAAATTTATAATGTATGCGGGTTTTGGTTAATAGGCCAGAGTCGATGCACGAGTACAATTTGACCCCACATTCGTTGTACGCGGCTGTGTCAGTCGGTCTTGAGACAGAAACCATCATTTCTGTTTTGAATAAACTGTCAAAGACCAAGCTCCCTAAAGAAATGATTGAATTTATACACGGTTCTACTGCCAATTACGGCAAAGTGAAGCTCGTGCTTAAGAAGAATAAGTATTTTGTTGAATCCCCATTCCCAGAGGCAAGCTTTTTATGCCTTTGCATTTTTCCATTTATATTATGGATACAGATTTGTTTGGTTATTGAGCTGTTCCAATCTGTTTGGTTATTGAGCTGTTCTTGGAAACGGTTGCAGGTATTGAAGACATTGCTTAAGGACGAAGTTATATCTAGAGCAAGGCTTAACTCTGAGGTTTGCACATTGATCTTCCTAGAATCTTTTTGAGTACATGCGTTAATTATTAATATATATTGTTTCTCCAAGTCTTCATCAGTAATATGTTTTAACTTCTTACTTGCATATGTGGATCATTATATTGAAACTATTTAGTTTGTAAGAGTAGTTTTCTTTGATTTCCCTAGTGTGTGATGTGCATGGAAAAACCTATTTCAACATTGATATAAATTGGAGTTCTTTTATAGGGTTCTCGTGGAGTTGATGATTTTACCATTAGCAAAACAATGGGTGAAATTGGAGCTGGTCCCAGTGATTTGCTAAATGAAGCAGAACTGGCAGCTGCAGCTGAAGAAAAAGAAACTCATGCATTTGAAATTGATCCTTCACAGGTAGATTGTTTGTGATTTGAAAAATGATGCCCCTTGTTTCTCATTGTTAGCTTGTCTCCCTCTAGGTCATGGTTGGTATTAGGGTCACAGTTTAGACTCTTACCCCTACACTATCTTCTTGAAACTGACGCCCTTGGTTATGCATATTTCCTGCTGCACCGTGTTCCCATCCATTAGGTTGATAAGTACCTAGATTTCATCACAATAAACAGAGAAAGCAATCATTGAATGTCAATATATTGCCATCTAGTGAGACTTTATTCATCTTATAATTTTCATTGGATGATATGTGCATTAGATCAGCATGCTTTTGTATGATTGTCAGGTTGAAAATGTTAAGGAACGTTGCTTGCCAAATGCTTTGAACTATCCCATGTTGGAGGAGTATGACTTCAGAAATGATACAGTGAGTTAATGACCAAGTTTCTTCCTGCACAGAATTATTAGTTGCTGATAAATCAACCATTTTTTTGTTTTTTGATTTTCATCAAAACCATCACTCTTTTCACACTGCAGGTTAACCCTGATCTAGATATGGAACTAAAGCCTCAGGCTCAACCACGACCTTATCAGGAGAAGAGCTTGAGTAAAATGTTTGGGAACGGTATGCTTCTTGAAAATTTAAGCATTCTTTGAAGAAGTAATCTACTTTTCTGAACATTTAATCATGGGAGCTCTCTGAATTCATTCAATTTAACCAGGCTTGTTCAATTTTGGCTGGAATTACCATGTAAAGGACTATTCATTTTTAACTTTTCTTTAAAGATCTGTGCATAAGCATTAAGCAGTCGACATTAGTTCCTTTGAATGAAAAGAGAACATATTTATCTTGCATTATTTGATGTTTTTTCTTTTTCCTGTTTCCCTTTTATTATTGATTTTAATTCCTGAAAAATATTTAAGGACCTAGTTTTTCTGTTTGAGTTTTTATTTTTTGGTTCATAATGTCTTTCTAATACTAAGAAATAAACATGTCGTTTTGGCTAAGAGTTAGATCTTTTTATCTTCAAATTTATCATGTAACATTGCAGGGAGAGCAAGATCTGGCATTATTGTGCTACCCTGTGGTGCCGGAAAATCTCTTGTTGGTGTTTCTGCAGCTTCCCGGATAAGAAAGAGCTGCCTTTGTTTAGCAACAAATGCTGTCTCTGTTGATCAGTGGGCCTTTCAGTTCAAGTTGTGGTCAACCATCCGCGATGATCAAATTTGTCGTTTCACATCTGATAGTAAAGAAAGGTTCCGTGGAAATGCTGGGGTGGTTGTAACAACATATAACATGGTTGCCTTTGGTGGAAAGAGGTCAGAAGAATCTGAAAAGATTATTGAAGAAATAAGAAATAGAGAATGGGGATTGCTTCTCATGGACGAGGTAATTATATTATTTTCATGGATGAATCTTTACTCGTAAGATTATGTACACCTCATATGCATTATAGAACATTAACCATTTCCTCCTTTTTATTTAGGTGCACGTTGTTCCTGCTCAAATGTTTCGGAAGGTCATTAGCATTACTAAGTCTCACTGCAAGCTTGGGCTTACTGGTAAGTGTGATAATCATGGCTTCAGACCATATCCTACATTTGTCCTTGATCTTTTTGCTCCTGGAATTCCTAATTTATTTATCAATATATTTGCAGCCACACTTGTGAGAGAGGATGAGAGGATCACAGATTTGAACTTCCTTATTGGTCCGAAATTGTATGAAGCAAACTGGTTGGATTTGGTAAAAGGTGGATTTATTGCAAATGTACAGTGCGCTGAAGTATGGTGTCCAATGACAAAAGAGTTCTTTGCAGAATATTTGAAGAAAGAGAACTCCAAGAAAAAGCAGGTGTGTCCATCCTGAAGTGCTCATAGTTGAGGGTCGGGTGTTTATTCATTTTTTATAATTTCCTTTTGTGCCAAGATATAACATTTGTCATTTGGTGTCAAGCATGTGACATATCAAATTTTGTTTGGTACAAAATGTTTCTGGTTGCTGTCGCCTGATGCTTCCTTTTCATTTTCAGGCACTTTATGTGATGAATCCAAATAAGTTTAGGGCATGCGAGTTTCTTATACGTTTCCATGAACAGCAACGTGGAGATAAAATTATTGTCTTTGCTGACAATCTTTTTGCACTAGTGGAGTATGCAATGAAACTTCGGAAACCTATGATCTATGGTGCCACCAGGTTGCTCATGGGCATATTTTGTATTCATTAACAATGTTTCCTTGGGTTTTGTCGCATCTAATACTGGCTAAATCTTTGTGATGTCAGCCATGTGGAGAGGACAAAAATCCTAGAAGCTTTTAAAACAAGTCGTGACGTAAACACTATATTCCTGTCTAAGGTACTCTATCAATGTTGTCATCCTTTATAATGTTCTTGTTTTATGAAATAGATTTCACTTTCTTTTTCTTGTAAGAAGATTAGTTTCCATTTATTTTAAATGAATTTGTGTGATAATTACTACTTGGTTGCTGGGATCTCGTGTTTCAGTTAGGCTTTATTCTAGCTTATCACTTATTTACTTTGATGCGAAACACTTGTGCGCTTTTAGGGGGAAAGAGAAAGAAAAGCCTATTTTGTCATAAGAAATTGAATTGTTTCGGTCTTTCTATTGCTGCTTTTCAAAGGAGTTGTCTGTCTACTTTTGACAACTGAAACATATCATATATCACGGACAATTGGGAGATATATGGATTTTTATTGTGTAAAGGTTATTGTATTTGAAGCTAAACATTTGATCTAAAAAGGATGTTTGATTAATTTTATGTTAATTTCAGGTAGGTGATAATTCCATAGACATTCCGGAGGCAAATGTGATAATTCAGATTTCGTCGCATGCTGGTTCAAGACGTCAAGAAGCGCAGCGTCTTGGTCGTATTCTGAGGGCTAAGGTTTGTGTTCCTACGGATATAATTGCACCTTCTTCTGATAGTGGGGTTTTATTATTTGAGGAATTAGTTACCATTTTCTTCCCCATGACTCTGTACTTCTGTATTTTTCACCCTTTATACATCCGTTTGACAAAATCCTGGTTACCATATTTTGTTTTCTTCTTTTATTTTTGATATAATGGGGGCCAAGGCAATTTTGTGCTATTTTCTTTGTGTCATTACTATTGGTGAATGCCATAAGATGCAGTTTCTGTGTTCTCAAATCTGGAGATCACATGAATTCACTATTCACAATCACTAGATATCTCATTTTAATGTGTTCTTGTACAGGGTAGACTTCAGGACCGGATGGCAGGAGGTAAAGAGGAGTACAATGCATTCTTTTATTCCCTCGTATCGATGGACACACAGGTATGTGCTTATTTTTTCCTTCTTCCTGTGTTCGACATTAAGGAATTTTTTATAGAGAATTTTTTGACAGTGTCCCCAAGAAATGAGATTATTGCTCAGATGATAATATAACTTCCATATTGTTATATCTCCGTATTCAATTAGTCATCTGTTTGGAATACAGGAAATGTACTATTCAACTAAGCGGCAGCAGTTTTTGATTGATCAAGGTTATAGTTTCAAGGTACAATATTTGATATATCTATGTTCTCTCGGAAGTGCTGTTGTCATTAGCTGTAAAAAATTGTATCTTTCCTTGATCTCTACGGTTCCGTAATTATCTTTCGTATTATTTACTATTGACAGATTATTACAAGCTTGCCCCCGCCTGATTCAGGCCCAGAATTGAACTACCACCATCTTAATGACCAACTGTCACTACTCTCCAAGGTTACCTGTTTTTATTGTTTCCCAAGTTTTTGCTCAAAACATTATTTCTTAGAAATGGAAATTTCTGACTTGTTTATCTTCCCCAGGTGTTGAGTGCTGGTGATGATGCAGTTGGTTTGGAGCAACTAGAAGAAGACGCCGATGACATTGCCCTTCATAAAGCTCGCCGTTTCAGTGGATCCATGAGTGCTATGTCGGGTGCAAATGGGATGGTTTACATGGAATACAGGTATATGCCAATCTGGTTTTCCTTGTTTTTGCTTTGTTAGGAAGTAGGAAGAAGGTGCATGTACCATTTTTTGGCTAACCATGACCCCGTGTACCCTACTGTGCCAGCACTGGGAGAAACAAATTTGGCAAAGGCCAGATCAAGGGTAAGCCCAAGGATCCAGCCAGGCGACATCATTTGTTTAAAAAACGCTTTACCTGAGAAGAGAGAGACTAGAGAAACAAAGATATGCAGAGATCTGAGGTGATGCTCCTCCGATGTTTGGATAGGAACAACCCCTGTTCCACATCTTGTAAATTTTCGGAAACTGGCGGCGAAGTGTGCTCTCGGTAGAAATTGTGCTGTAAAAGAAAATTCACCTGATCTGTGGAGTGCCCTTGTACTCTAGCTTGATATGGAAGTTATTATGCGGAGGAAGATCGATAAACTTGGAACGCAAGTTGTTTGAAAGCGAGTACGATACATTAGAAAAACGGATATAAAAACAAATTTACATCTCCCCCACCTTTACTTGCTCATAGGCAAATTATGTGTTATCGAAAGGACCTTGTCCGCGATCCATTGATGGGACGTGTTCTTCGGCAACAAGGCAAATGTGATTCAGCATTTAGCAGAGAAGACACATCGAGCAAAGACGATAGTAGGGAGGGTTGATGCTAAAAAACAGGCCAAGAACAGGAAGAAGGCAATTTTTGCTAGACATCCATACCATTCTCCACCATACGTAGACTGTGGAAATAAAAACAGGGGCCGCTGGGTAAGAAAGCCACTTAATCACATTGTAAACTCTGAAATCCTTCTGTCACCAGTAACGAAACTTAAATAAACGACTCTTCCAACCAACTTAAACAACACCACCGATGCCTACTCACAACGGAACGGATCCAAGAAACTAGTTCGGCTGAGAGATGCCTCTTGATGGCATGCATCATCGTGATTAGTTCGGTTCAAGTTAATCTTCCAACCAATGATTGTGTACACAAAGATTGCTCATCTATTCAAATTGGGATTCAAATTTAATTTTTCCATCTTAGTGGTGCTCTTATCTACTATGTTTTTTTGGATTGTCCACCATTAGGGAGAAGAATGACATTTTTAAGAGCGTCGTGATTCATCATTGATACATTCAGCTTTGTCTCATAAGTGACGTATGTTAATCTATTGCATGCCTGAGGCATGATGGAATATGGGTTCCAAACTTTGAAATCCCAAGATGTGGAGATTAAATATTTTAAGCCCAATTTAAATGACGTTCCATAGGAGGTTATGATGTAATTCTCTAAATAATTCATCTCGAGACGTTTGTCATAGAAGTAAGGTTTTAAAAGACGCTAGGCGCTAGTCGGGCGGTGGGTTAAGGCCTAGCGCCTAGGAGGCTAGGGGGCCTACGCGGATTTAAGTAAATCTGTTATATTTTGTGTAAATAAGTGTCTGTTTATACTTAAAATATATATAACTACATCATAAATTACAAAATAGAATGACATATATTATGAAGTATTGAAACATAATGACAACATGGGGGAACAAGCATATAATGTGTGTTATTTAAGTATTCAGCAAGTTTCTTACAATTTATTAAAAAAAAAATGCAAAATGAAAGTTATCTATTTTCTGTCTAAGTAAGTCGCAACCTAGGCGGGTGTCTAGGCGAGTTTGGGTGGGTGCCTAAGCGGTCTAGGCGCTCTTTCTAAAATTTCAAATGCCTAGGCATTTAATTGGGACGGTGGTGAACCGCCTAGGGCCTAGGCGGCGCTAGACGAGGATTTTTAGAACGGTGCATAGAAGTTACAATGGAAGCCTTGAAGACGCACAATAGCTAAGCAATGAGATCATTATAAATTATGCATGCACATAAGAACTGTTGGATCATAAATTGATGATATTGATAATTTTGATTAAAGTTGCTTCTCATCATCAACAACTAATTAGTCACTTTTTTTTCATTAATGTTGACAATGTATATTTTGCCAAACTGGTAAGAGGCAAATTCTAGTGTTGAATGACACTGAGTTATGTGAAATAAGTGAATTATAATTCAACTCCAAAAGTTATTCTTGGGTGCATTCTTAGGATTATTGAAAGCCCTAGATATGGTTTAGCGTGAAATAAGTGAATTATAATTCAACTCCAAAAGTTATTCTTGGGAGTATTCTTAGGATTATTGACTATATATGGTTTATATTTACCATGGAGTTTAAACTACTCATGCTAGTTTATTTTGAATTTTAGATTTTATTTTGTATGTATTTGTACTTTGAAGAATACAAACGGCTATTGTCAACTCATGATAATCTTTCGCACTTTTCCAGGTCAAGTTCTATCCAAACTTAATTTTTTGGAGACTGAAGTCACATTACTTTAAACTTGACAATGATTACCAACGGAAACTTACTATTATAATGGGGAATCACTTATTTAGCAGAGTTATCCATCATGGGGATTGACAATATGCTATAATGGACATATAAGTGCGCATTGTACTTTTTTTCCCTCTGACTAGGTTTTTATCTCCTTGGGTTTTTCCTGTCAAGGTTTTAGTGAGGCAAAATTATACGTATCCAATAATATATCAATATTTTATAATCATGGCACTCGGTTTTTCTCCTTCGCTTAGGTTTTTCCCACTGGATTTTCCGAGCAATGTTTTATCTGGGCAACTATAATTGACGGTGGACATAACTTCATTAATGCACGGACATTCAAAGGGGAGCGTTGTAAATATTTTTGTCTATGTGGTTGTCCATGTTCATAACGAATTGTGTAGTATTATTAGTTCATCACTTATTGATCATTGATGTTAGTTAGAGACACTTGAGTTTCTCCTCTAAGTTACTCTTACCCTATATAGAGAGGTCTAGTGATAATGAAAATACACGCTTTTGTTTTCTCCTCCCCAGTCTCTCTCTCTCTCTCTCTCTCTCTCTCTCTCTCTCTCTTTCTTGTTTTCTCTTTGTTCCCATATTCTCTCGCTCTCTCTCTCTATATTTTATTTTCAACACATATTAGCATTTCCACCATCTCTTTAAAATTTAAAGAAACTAGTTATATCTCTAAGTTGGGCATGCATTCCCAGAGACACAACAAAAAAATTCATATAAAAGGCTAAAAAATCTTGAAAATATTTAATTAACCTTATTATCAGCATCTTCAAATCTCCATCTTACATTAATGCTTGCGGGATTCAACACTTCTCCTAATTGTTTTCCTCTTTCACTCTAATCCTAATTGTTTATTTGTTTTCCTCTTTCACTCGAAATAGATATCTGATTCTTTCGTTCTTTCTTTTTCTTTTCACTTTGAAAATAAAAATTGTGGTCACTCAGTACTACGGTCTGGTAGTATTCCACTTCATTTTAAAATGAAAGGTCGTAGGTTCGAAACTCGTGGATGACGAATTCGATACCAAATTAGGTTGCCCATTGTGTGGCTTAGCCTAACTCCCTCTTCCTTTAGTGTAAAAATATTGATGTATTAAAAAAAATTGAAAATTGTGAATTTGCTATAAGATAAAGACAACGAAACCTTGTTTTCAACAACTTGATGCTTGAATTTGCTATAATATGCACTTATTTACAAGATATACAAAAAATTTACCTAGGCACTAGCCTATCGCACGACTAGCGCCTAGTGTTTTTTTAGAACCTTGAGTTGAAGATCTCAACTAGCTTCCTTTCCATGGAGTTGAGAAGCCACGACATGACAAGTTGATCCTTGCATAGCCATGTCTCATATAAAGGTGATGAGATTTCAGGTGCTTGAATGGTTCCATTCACATAACCAAGCTTTGATCTTCCATCGAGAGCAAGTGAAATTGCTTGAGACCATGGAAGATAGTTGAACTCATTTTAGCAAAACTAAGCTAAGTTTTTTATTCGGATTAACTTCTACTTCGGTAGAATTTGAAGTGGGTGAAACACTAGAGCTCGCAGTATCAGGACTGGGAGGATTGTCCCCAACCATTTGAACCAGCTATGGAAAACAAAGAGGTTGAAGAAGATATGCAGAGACATGCCATTGTGGTCACTACTTTGATACCATATTGAATTTCAAGGTTTGTGTATTGATCATGAACTTTACAAGAGAGAGAACTAAGCTCTTATAAAGAGCCGGAGAACATATTACAAATAATAGTGGACATCAGCCACTACTTGCCAGGCTACCACATGGTTTCTGCCCTAAGAAACTGGACATAACAAGGGCTAAACAAATAACAATGTACAAGTAAGGAAATCCCAGATTATAGGGAGAAACATTGACAAAAGGAGAAGTACGGTTGAACCCTAAGTGAGATGACAAGTTGGAAGGTTGTAGCCATCACTTTAACCCATAACTTAGCTATAATGATAATTATAACCCATACTTGTGATTTATTTGTGATTTTGATCTATTCCAACACTCCCCTTTAAGCTTGGATCGAGGAGATTGATTGATCCAAGCTTGGACAAGAGACTTTGAAACACGGCAGTTGCCAATGGCTTAGTGAAGAGATCAGCAAACTGACGAGAACTCGGGGTGTAACAAGTTTGTATGATCTTTGATTGAACCTTTTCACGGATGTAATGGCAGTCAACCTTGATATGCTTGGTCCTCTCATGGAAAACAGGATTAGAAGCTATATGCATGGCTGCTTGGTTATCACACATGAGAGTCATTGGTTGAGAGCTAGGAAACCCTCAATCAGAAAGAAGGCCCTTGAGCCAGATTAATTCACAAGCAGTAGTTGCCATAGCCTTATACTCGACCTCAGCACTGGATCGAGCAATCACACTTTACTTCTTGCTTTTCTATTTACCAGATTACCTCCAACAAAAATACAAAAACCAGTAGTTGACTTGCGATCCAAGGAGTTGCCTGCCTAGTTCACGTCAGTGTAACCAAGGATGTGAGTGTGAGCATTGTTTTGCATCAAAAGACCACGTCCCATATAACCTTTCAAGTACTGCAGTATTCTCTTAACAACTTGCAAATGATCCATTGTTAGAGAATGTATAAATTAACTCACACGATTGATAGCAAAGGCAATGTCCGGCCTCGTTATTGTAAGATAAATAAGTCTCCCAACTAACCTTTGGTAGTAACTGATATAAGTGAGTGTTTCTCCATCCATGGTCATTTTGTGTTTGCAGTCAAGGGGTGTAGAGGTAAGCTTGCAATCCACCATATCAGCTTCTTGAAGCAAATCAAGAATATACTTTTGTTGATTAAAAAACATTCCCTTTTTAGAAGTTTCCATTTCAATGACAAGGAAATATTTGAGTGTCCCAAGATCTTTGATGGCAAACTTCTGCTTGAGGGTGCTCTTTAGTAACACAATTTCACTAACATTATCACCAGTGACAATGAGGTCGTCCACACAAATAAGAACCACTAGGGTTCCACTAGAACAAATTCGAATAAAGAGAGATGAATCTGCATTGCTTCTCTTGAAGCCAACTTCTTCAAGAACTGAGCTCAACTTTCAATACCAAGCACGAGGGGATTGTTTTAATCTGTAAATGGAT